GATGAAATGATATGAATGTGATTTGATACGTAACTTCGCAGGGAGTGCTATCGTATTCTTCAATCGGCATCACCATCTCGCTCTCTGAACTCATCATGTTATCAGCCTTATTATAAACTATAAAAAATATTATCACCAACCTCCGTTAGAATTTTTAGCAACATTTTCATCATTCCCTCACTTGTCATCATCATCATCATCATAACCATCATCATCATCACCACCACCATCATCATTCATCACCATCATCATCATCACCACCACCATCATCATCACCATCATCATCATCCATCATCATCCATCACCATCATCCATCATCATCATCGCCACCGTTATTTTATGTACACCAACTAGAAGCAAATTATTTTTCACTGTTATAAATTGTTCCTATTGCTGATACATATAATCCGACATTTAAAAATGCAGATGATGACGGTTGGGAAGATGAGGCGTGCATGCAAAGATATTTGAAGGGCCTTCCAGGACAAATAATCATATCGATCTCTTTTAATCATGCCTGTCTGTCTGTCTGTCTGTTAGTCTGTTAGTCTGTCTGTCTCTCTCTTTCTATCTCTCTGTTTCTCTCTCTCTCTCTCTCTCTGTTTCTCTCTCTCTCTCTCTGGCGTATAAGCAGCCTGAACTGTTGTACGTACACACTTTTACATCACACACAACGTAACGGCCTAAGCAGATTGTGGTTTATGGTGTGAGCGTAGAACGACAACAGACAACAAAACAGGCGAGCAGTACGTGCGGTGCATACAGTTTCGATGGCCTACAAATCATATTCACGTTGCAACTCGACTGCAGACGGCGAGCAAAATAACATCGCTTCTTGTAACTGTTTGTCTGCTCGTTATGTCACATACATCGGAATACACTTACATGAATGAAAATAGCACATAACAAAAGGATGAGCCAAGTCCGTTGGATTCGTCGTCGTGCTTCGAACGCTGCCCAGCTGGATCGATTGCGCCAAATATACATGCACTCTATCAATTAAGCAATCAAGCAGTCTTCATGTAGGCAGTGTTTGTGATGTTCTTTGGTGGTTTGATATGTTGCAGTATTCTTGCAGATGATGTAGTTTGCAGACGTCATAAGAAACGAATGCACGTGCACACACACACACACACAAACACACAAAAACACACAAACAAACACAGACACACACACACACACATACAAACACACGCCGCATCATGAATGTAGAAGTTTTGAATGGGTGTACGGGAGACTGCAGCTGAATGGAACAGCTTCCATCTCCACATTCAAACATTCATGCCTGAACGCTCCATGCAGTGAGGCATTAAATCTTTCTTTATTGCTTTGCTGGACTTTCGAGGTTTCTTGGAGGGAGCAAAATAAAAACAAACTTTATGAAAAAATTAATGTTTATTCGTTAAGATCATATTTCTTCAATTGATGATGCTGAATATTATAGCATTATTATTATTGTAACATTTTTATTTCTACAATTACATTAATGATCGCCACTTTTATTGTCATCGCTTTCATCTTTATCACCCTCACCATGCTACCATCAATGCTGCTACTGACAACAAGTTACTCTTCCATAACCCAAAACGTCCGATTCAGCAATGTATTTTATTTGTGAGCATACAAAATGTTGAACTTTATGATTCATGATGGAATGGGCTAGGTTAGGTTGCCTTGTGTCGTGTGTGGTGTTGTGTGTTGTTGAGTGTGGTATGTGGTTGTGTGTGGCTGTGTTGCTTTGTAGTGTTGTACGTGGTTGTGTGGTGTTTATGTGTTGTTTAGTTTGGTAACCAATTAAACATTCTTGGTTGAATGCATAAACTATATAGGCCTAAGTGTATTTTTCAAGTGCTTTTCCATGCACTTGCCTGCATTCGTCAATACTGAGACGTACTGAGAAATGATGGTTCAAAGATACGAACGAAATTCAACGATCAACAGTCGATGAATAAACATTGGACTGAATGAGTTGAAAATAAAGTTATCAATCAAAACACAAAAGATAAAAAAAATAAATGAATTAATAATGGAAAGTTATTTAATCTTGCTCGGTGTCATGGACAATCAAGTGAACGCGCGATGGAATAACTGAAAAAGATAGAAATAAGTAAACAAATAAAACAATTTTGAAGGAAAGAAATTCACACGCACACAGACACACACACACACGCACACAGACACACACACAGACACACACACACAGACACACACACTCATCTATTTACTTACACACCCACTCACTCACTCACTCACACGGTCACTCAATTTTTTTAATTAATTTTTGTTTGCTCATCCTTTTTCCATCTAGTTTTTTTCTCCAGTTTAATTATTCACTAATCATTTGAAAACAACAAACTTATTATATAAATATGCGCTTGTTTGCATGATTTTTCAATTTGAAATGATTCCTCCGTATGAATAGAAACTTCTTCCTCCACATATTTTGTGAGCATCATTTTGAAAACAAATTATTTTTTAAACTCAAGCCAAACTTCACTCACGTGCATGCATGGATGGTGGTGGGTTGTGGATTCTTTATCGGCCAGTCGTAAAAGCTCATTGAAATATAAACTCCATGCGAAGAATTTTCCATATTCAAGTAGAAGCATTTCGGTGTTTTGTACATTTTCATGAATTTTTAAAAAGCCAAGAACAAGTTTTAAACGTTTTTTCAACAATAAATTATGCAGTAGGCTATTTACGGAGTTTGTTTTGTCATTATTATCTTGAAAAATTATATCATTTCAAGATGCGTCAACAGTACTAACATCGCTTTCACCAATGTATGTTGTATTTATTATTTTTATTAAACTTGGTTTATTTGAAATTAATAACACAACAAACATACAACAAACATACAACGAACATACAACAAACATACAACAAACATACAACGAACATACAACAAATAACATACAACATCTTTTACAACAAAAATAAAACACCTCACAATACCTTTCATACAAGGCATATACAATGACCGCCCAGCTTATCTTAAACGGCACGTTGTCTACCCGGCAACATGGCTGTCGGGATGATGTTCCAAACTTTGTCATTTACGAGTGCTTAGTTTTCAGCGATAATTCAGTGATTAATCAATAACACTAAAGAACAAATTAAAATTGAAAGATTTGGTTTTTCTGAAGGCAGAACAGCCACTGCTGCTAGCGACACTTTTGAGTGGCTCTGCAGTTAACGGTCGTGAGAGTTGCCCCACAGATTTGGAGTAACTCAATAGCGGATGCCACAACATTATTGAGAAGACTAAATTAAAAAATGTTTACTAATGCAAAACAAATCTATATACATTAACATAAATGTTTGGCGAAGAAAACATCTTTGAAGAAAGGCGTGATCTCAAAGCCCAATCTACGAGATCCCATTGTTAATGTCAGTCCGCTTAACCGATTAATCAACCAGTCAGTTGATGCGTTGGTTTGAATAGTGAAAATTTTCGTTACAACTGAGTCCTTCCTCTTCAGTCTTTGGAAACGATTCGGTGAAATGAAATGTTTTCCAGAGAAGTAAAAAATAAAAAATTAACTAGAACGATTTTAATAAATTTATAATATGTTTATGTTTAATAACGTAGAAGGCAGTTATTAGACAACTTTGACAAACATAAGGGTTCTAAAACGGCCGTGCAAATGAACAAAAAAAAAAAAAAAAAACTAAAATTTGTTGTCGTTGTCATGTCGTTGCTAGGTTACTTAAGGATCTATGTACAATCGCTGCTTCAAATTCTAAAATAGCAATGTCTAAATAACGTGCAGTTTATTTTGCTTGAAAATTGATTGGATGTTTGTCATTTTATGGCGCACCTGCAATATTGAACTGCATTAGAAATGCACCTAAAACTTCACCGAGAACAAAAGAAAAAAGCTTTCGACGCTTCCATCTTTTGTTTTCCTGCTGCTGCTTCTTCATCGTACCTTCCTACTTGGAATGCTTTTCATTTCCAAGATATATTTCGATTATTTTAAAAACGAGTTTTCAAGTATAAGCAAATAAAAAACAATTATGTATATGTATATACAATGTATATAATATGAGTATTTATATAGCGCTTTTTAAAATAGAATTTCTCGACAGCTCAACAGAAAAACGAGAACTATAAAATCACAAGTACCAGGCAAACTACGAAAATAAAAATAATCAAACTTGTAATCAATTCAAAATTTTTAACAAAATAGTTAAGTGTCGAAAGTAGCTACTTCACATCGCTTGTTTACAATGTTAAATATATTAAATAAAGCTACACATATTCTGGGTATGCGTTATCAACTTGCTTATAATTAACTGGCGTTAAAATACATCCGCCATCTAAAAAATTGTACGTTCATAGCAGTGTGCTGATGAGTCACCCATTAGCAGTGCTTGTGATTAGGAATGAGATGGATTGATTAGGAATGGGACAGATCCAAAAAATCAAGATTCGTAACCAGATATAAGTGATAGGCTCAAACAGATCCCAATCCTAATCGGATGCATTTCAATCAACAATTGGTGCTTTATGATTCAACCCAAGTTGTTGTATCACGTGATTTAGATTTGAATCGGTTAGAAAAACATTAGAAAAGTTAACACGTCATTAAAAAACTTATAAAATTTATCATTTTAGTTTGTAAATAAAAATATTTAATTAAACAATTTTTTTAAATAATTTAATTTGGTATATTCCTGGATTCTGTTTTAATTGAGTCTCTAGCGTTAGATTCAACGAATCCGAATCTTATTGGGCCTCAGGTTTTGGGCATTCCTACTAGGGTAAAATACGAGAAGAAGATGGCGCAAATCATAAAAAAGTGTAAAAGTATTGTCAAATGTAAAATGTAACGTTGAACAGAAGCCAGTCAGTTGCACAGAAGTCAGTTTCATCTACCGATTGCATTGCATCAAACTCACGTGACATTTTAAAATAAACAAGAAAACTAGGAGGTGTTGTGGGTCTGCAGAAATATTCTGTATCGTAACAAGGGCGCATGCGCGCACATCGTCACATGGAAATGGAATGGGAGAACAACTCTGCTCAGGAAATGTGCAGGACAGCTGTGTGGGATATGTGCACAAAGTGTATGACGCACATGCATACGCAGTATACATTTGATACACACGCAGCACAAACAGGGGTACGAAATTAATTTGCAACAGCTGTGTGAGTAGGGTGTCGGAAGGGATAGTCGGAAATGTGTACGCTTGGTGGTTTGATTCTTTGGTGGAAAGTTCCCAAACTCCCTACAAACTTTTCCGACTTCTGACTCCCAGTAAGCTTTTTTTTACTTTTGTTTTACAATTTAAAAAATGCTGCAAAACACAAACCCCTGGTTAAATAAAAGATAAAAAAAACTTAAATTCAGTTGCCATTCAACAAGATTTACACAAGCCCAAATTTCACCATTTGCTGTTAATTTGAATATAAAAATAAATGGGGTCATAAAAATTAAATGAAATAAAATTCAAAAACAAATTTTAAATTTAATTTTTAAATTTAAATTTATCATTTGCTTTTAATTTGAATATAAAAATAAACGAGGTCTTAAAAATTAAATGAAATAAAATTCAGAAAACAAATTTTAAATTTAATATTGTAAAATTGAATTTATATAATAAAATAAGAATTTAAAATATCTGAAATTTTTGTAAAGAAAGATTGTCGATCGTCTCACAACTTTTCAAACCGGCCATTCATTCAAGCCAGATAAATTTATCTGCCAGCTCTAACACGTTCTAACGAGCAAGCAGATAGATTTTCATCGCATTCGTCACTAACAAACTCATGCATTCGCCAACTAACCAAATGATCGAAACAACTACCGCAACAACAACATTAACTCATGCAACATAACCAGGTGAAACATCAACTCAACATCAACACTGTGCTGTTAACAATAACGCAATCAAGAAGACTTCAATTTTGATGTTATTAAAACGGTATCAAATAGAGCATGACACCCACATAACTTCAACATAACATCAACGTGAACACATCAACAACACATTTATGCTACTAGCATCATCAATAACACTTCAAAACATCTCAACATAAACAACATCAACAACAAAATTATCAACATTAACACCCCCATCATCAACAACAACAACATTATTGTCAACAGTATCATATAACATCACCCAACATCATGTAACATCACTTTGAATCAACACTATTCTCATCTCATGAAGAAAATTATGCGGTCAGAAGGGTGTGTTGAGAATGCTGGCAACAGTAATAGCATTATTAGCAACAAAAACATCACCATCAACAACAACAACGTCACATCGTCATCATTATCAGCATCATCACCAACATCATCAACATCATCATCATCAACATCATCATCAACATCATCATCAACATCAACATCATCAACGTCATAGCCTGCTGCACCAACATTCTCAAGGTTAAATGACAAATAATGCAATTTGTAGTGCATTACGACGGCCAACTAATTACAAAGGGATTAAGGGATGATGAGGAGTGCATCTTTGTTGCAACTACAACAACTACAACAACTGCAACAACTACAACAACTACAACAACTACAACAACTGCAACAACTACAACAACTGCAACAAGTGCAACAACTACAATACCAACAACTGCAAAAACTGCAACAACTACAATACCAACAACAACAACTGCAATAATATTATGATAAAACATTAAAATCATTGTCTAAAAAACAAAGTTGCCAACCAAAACAACATTCAATTAGTGGCGAATTCAGTCATTTCGGAATTTTGAAATTCACCCCATCACAAACTTCTGCATCCACCACTGAACTATTTTACTTTCAGACAAATTTCAAACATTTTTCCCTAGCGTTGTTTTTTCCGATGTTAACTCATTCAGAGAGGATTCTGCCCCTAGGTGTGGTGCTATGATTTCATAGATCAATGTTAGATTAAAAACAAATTTGATCCTTGTTGGCTAACAGACATATTTAGAGTCGGGCGAATGCACTTAAGAACGCATGAATTGTAAGACGCATGCACTTCAAGACGCAAGCACTTTAAGGACGCATGCACTATAAGACGGATCTACTGGCATGACTCATGCACTCCATTTTATCTATTGTAAATTAGTAAAGCGTCTCAATTGAGGACCTTTTTAGTTGATATTTGTTTTAACTTTAAAGTTGACCGACTGGGAAGACTATCTTAAACCGTGGCTAAAGCAACTGGAAACAGTTTTTTTCCATAATGAGACGTGCTAAAGGAAAGTCGCACGTGGTCTTTGTGTTTCGCCCATCTCACTTTCAATCGATGTTCACTTCACGCACACCAGAATCCAAATTCAACAAACTCGTCAACTCTTCCAGACAAACTGCTGGTGCGTTATCTGTTTAGATACTTTAAATTTGATTCTCTCCTCTATCAATGAACAATTTCATTCTTATTAGTTTAGTTTTTAGGTTGTTTAAAATGCTGGCAAATTTCAAGACTCCGACAATTAAACTAGCATCAAAGTTCAGGTGATACTTCTTTTTTACTACCGTATGCCGTGGATGTCAGGTGATACTACTTTGTTACTACTGTAAAGAGTTGTACAGAGTTGCACAATTAATTTTTGTACAAACAAACTTATCCACCTGAGCTCTTGTCAACGCTTTTTTTAAATGTTATGTTTCGCTTAATCGCTTTCATCTTATTTAGTTAGGTTTGATAATGATGCAACAAGGATAATGATGATACTACCAATGAAGACGATGATGATGATGATGATAATGCTCATAATATAATTTTCTGTGACAGCAATAATAATTATAAAGCTTTTAAAAGCCGATCGTTTTGTTGATGGTATAATGTTGTTAATGATGATGATGATGTTCTAGAAGCTGGAACGTTGTGGATGATTATGATGATGATGTTTTACATAATTACAACATGTAAATGTTGTTGTTGATGATGATGATGTTGAAAATGTTGTAGATGGTGATGATGACGGTGTTGTTGCAGATGACGATAATGATGATGTTTTTGAGGCTCATGGTGTTGTAGATGATGATGACGATGATGTTGAAATTGTTGTAGATGATGATGTATATGATGATGACTATGGTGTTGATACCAGCCATAACCCAATAAAATAATAAAACCCATATGAAAATGACTCGACGGTGGGACGGAATGAAATATGTTCAGTCTTATTGTCGTGATAATACTAATATTGATTTCGTATTGTTGGTACAAAAAAAGAAGTTTTGTATAATTTCATTTGTTTTTTTTCCAGTACAAGTTGTCGCGGCTCTTTGTTGCGGGTGGCGAGTGTTGCAGCGTTTGTTGCGGCGTGTGTTGCTGCGTTTGTTGCGGCGTGTGTTGCGAAAATATTATAATTAATTATTGTTATTTAAATAGCTATGCAAGTTATCAGAGTATTTATTTATTTTGTATTGTCTGGATGATTCTAGGTTGGATTCATGACACACCATCAACTGCAAAATCTCCGTGGTGTCACCTTGCAGTATGGCCATGTCGGGTCGTAGGGTGTTGAACAGATCCTCTATAGGCTGAACATCGTCAATTTTCAAATCTGCAAATAACTCACAATTGGCAGGCGCACATACTTTCAACCGGCTGGTGTTTGCGGCTAAAATCTTGTTGTGTCTTTCGGTGTATCTTGCTAGAGCGGAGGTGGAACTACAGTTAGAAACCCCATGCTTATTTGTCGAGGGTCACAGAGAGGGCATAGAGGGCTTGGCGTTTTGTCCCATCTAAACAAATTAGCGTTTGTCGGCAGTTGCTGCACTAAATATTTTTTTCCAAATTGGAAGAGGGCTCCAGCAAGATTCTCCATTGTTTTTACTAGGGAGGGATGTTGTTGGTTTCGATGACGGTTTTATTTTGGAGATAACTGTGCCCTGACTTTCCAGCAAAATGACATGTTTTAAACATGCATGATTCAATTTTTTATTCCACCAGTTGTTTTAGTGATCATTTTAGGAATTTAGGGAACCTTATTTTTAGAGGGTTATGTCAATTTTGGTGTAGTCGAGTGTCGATTATTTGTATGAACATTGACATTCTTTGCTCAGACTAATTTTAAAATAGTTGCTTTAATCTCATTCTTTTTGTGGCATATTAATAATAATAATAAAAATAATAATAATATAATAATACTAATATAAGTTGTAATGCTGGAAATAACTCCTTATTTTCCTTGTTAGCCTGGCCACTCAGGCAAATAAATCATTTATCATCAATTCTATTATTTGTCGACACCTCATTTTTCTCCAATCATCATCATCATCATTACCACCACCATCACCACCACCTTTATCATCTTCTTCATCGTCATCATCAATCGTAATCATTGAGTAACTTTTTTTCGCTATTTCGACACCTCAATCATCAACTTGCCACTCATCTACTTCTCATCAACATCATCTGGTATTTAATTTTTAATGTTTTTATTTAATTTTTTGTATCACTAAGGAAGCCAAAGAAGCTAACATTAGCTCTAATTACTTATCTAAGTTTATTAATCTATAGTCACAAAGATCATCATCTGTCTTTGACATAGTAGCATCTTGCATAACACACTAACAAACACACACACACCACACACACACTAACACACACACAAAAACACACACAGACATATACACACCCGCACATACATACATACACAGACATCGAATACACTTTGTTGTAGTTGATGATGATTACGTATGATGATGATGATAAATATCGTTAGATAGTGGTGAGCTTAAGGGTGGTGGTGTGATTGATGGTCCGGCTTTGTAGGGTCACTCACATTTGTTTCTCCACCAGATTACAGTCATGATGATGATTGTGGTAATGATGATGACCATGGTGATGATGATGAAGACCATAATGATGATGATAGTTGTGATGAAAAGGATGTTTGCAATAATGTTGAACGGGTGATTTTAAAACATGCATTTTATTTCTTTGTTACTAGAAAGATTAATTATCAGGGAACCAAATACTTGATCAAATTAAACGAAAATTTGATTATCAGTAAAGTAAAATTACATCTCCATATGCACTTTTGAACTTTTTACAAAAGCGAACCACATGAAGAACAAATGATCAAACTGTTTGAAATTGTTGTCGTTGTAGCTGATGTGATGTGAAAGCATCCCACCTTTCACAACAATTTTGTCAGATGACATTTTTGAAACCATAATGGATGAACAGATAATTGATCAACCGAAAACAAATAAAATAAAGTTGTGAGAAAGATTTTTCTTTTTAAGGTATTTTATTAAAGAATCTTTTAAAATAGTTTTCGATCTTACCCCTCTCAGGGAAAATTTTGCCTCTTCCCCGTAAAAAGTTGAACTTTTTTTCAAAATTTTTGCCTCCTCCCATCTAAGTTGTTTAGATCTGCCACTGGTCGTAAGTATTTTTGTATTTATGCTTTTTTGAACTTTATCATCACGTTGTACCTAATAGCATATTTTAAAATAAAATTAAATAAAATTGTTAATGTTAGCACAAACGTTTCGTTGGCTAAGTTAAATTTCACATGCGAATAACTTCCCACCCACCGTGGAGGTTGTTGTCTTGTGGTTGATAAAAAAAAATATTACTTGCAATTAATTTTACAAGGAACAGTTCCCGCGACAAATAAACTGCATTTATGTCGGCAAATATTTTGGTTTGTTGCAGAAGACCAACGCAACAATTCTCTTTTGTAAAAAAATTTTATAAAATGTACACTTTGCAAATTTTAATTGGAAATATTTCCATTTCGGTTGTTTATATCTCTGACAATATTGGAACAAATTTTTCGAAATACTTTCAGTCACTTCACGCATGTTTCATACAAAAATGAAGTTGAACGACCGCTCGCTGCTTCTGTATTTTTGTTTGCATTTCATTTTCATGCATAAATCGTTATTTATATTTCGTTGTTTACTTCAACTGTATATTATTTTAGAAATCTTTAATTATTGAAGACCTAAATATTTTTAAAAATTTTTCAAATTTTTCGGATATATA